TTTACATCTGTAGAAGTGGCAGTTTTTCTGTACTAGTTTTGTAGCTCCGAGATTCTCAATCTGAGCATTGTTTTTCTAATATATTTACATACCAAGCATGTCGTGAGTATTAAAGACAATTTATGACACTTGAATTAAGGAGGTAAAGAATCATGGCTTCATATTGGTTGGAAACAACATAGGGCTTTATTTCATGCGAACAACATGAAATGATATATCGAATTTCACGCTCAGTTTACTCAATTTTGTTTGGTAAAGTTTGTCAGTACAGGTTCTCTGGAAGAGAATTTTTTTTACTATTAACCTTAGTAGCATAACATGAATCAATTCTTTATCGAAATTTGCTGTCGTGATTTTGTGCCGTGAAACGCGCGTGATGCAGTGTTCCTAAGGGTGATATCGTGATGTTTTCATTCGCGATTCGTGATTTAATGGAGCACCCCTGACCTATAAAAGAACCGCATCTTTCCCTCGGCTCATACTAGTTCATGCCACAGTCAGCGCTAGCGGGAAAAACGTCAAATCAAGTAATGGAAAAAGATATATTTTTGGGTAAGTTGAATTTCACTCTTTGGATGTTATCGTCTGCTGAACCTAGGTATGAAGACTAGGTATTAATGGCTAAATTAAAAATACGCAAATATTTCAGTGCAGTTTTCAACAGAAATTTGCAGTCAATGTTATCTGCAGACTGATAAGTTTTTGATGTTCAGTCGAGCTGTGTTTTTTCAACATTAAAATGTGCCTTTTTGTTGGGGTTTTTTCGATTTGCGAATCAGGAGAACAGGGCAAACTTTATCAAGTAGTGGTTTCAAATGATTAACACTCTATAATTGCCAATAAAGATACTTACAAGTTACACATGGCCTAAGGGTTACGAAAGGTTCCAACGAACATTAATTTTTGATATTTAACAAACATTTTCATAGCGATTTTTGCAGTGAGAGTTCAGTAAGTAATAATGTCAAAACTTACTCGATCAGGCAGGAGATACAATTTACTGAAAGAACCCAACATGGGCAAGCGAGGTTATAAGTCTGGTCAAACAGAACAATTATCTTCTGTTGCAAATTCAGGACACGAAAAAACCATGGAGGCGATTGAATCAGTCGCTAATAAACTGGTGATCATCGGGGACGAATTGAGCCAGTCATACCAAGAATTATCTAGCAGCGGAACAAATGTGGTAGAAGTCAAGCCATGCGTGAGGTTGGGAAGTTGGCTGAGCATAGTGATTTTTATACTGAAAGTTTCAGTCTGAAAGTGAAGAAGACAGAAAACGAGGTGTAAATGGCGTAGAAGTTTGGGAACTTTTGAAGTACTCTGTTTCTCATGCTAAAAGCTTGGGTCTGAAAGTTGAAGTAAAATTAAAAAACAGTTGAATTTGCGGGCTTGAGCGACGGAGTAGAGATCTACTCGAACGTGGGCCTATGAAGAAGAACCAACAATTATCGTAATGGAGAGAGATCAACGGACCAATGATTATGAACTCCGTGGATAAACCAAACCTAATCACGTCGCAAAGAGTACGGAAACTCATCCAATCGAAAAATGTTCAGCAGTTCAAAATGAAAATATGTTTATTTCTGGTTGTACTAGAAAGCGAAAGTACTGATGCATTGAAGTATGCTATTTGTTCAAAATCTTTACAGTATTTCTATTTTTTTGCATGTAGCTAAAATGCATTTTGTTGTGAGTTTCTATTGCTAAAACAGTACAAATTTATCGTTTTTCTTCCTTCAATTTAAAAAAAAATTAAACTGAATTACGTTAAACTAATGTAATAAAATATACGTAGTCTAAGCTATCGCTTAAGAGATAAGATTTTCACTCGGCACTTTGTTTCAATACGATGTGGTGTGTTCTTGTCCTCTAGTGAAAAAAAGAAAAACACGACCTACCTTCTGTCGGGGAAATGATTCCTAATTCCACATGATGACCAAGTGAAAACCTTAATAGCGATGAACTTTCTACCCAGTAAATCGTTTTTTTCTGATAACCACAATCACTAGACAATCTTTTTTTCATTTGAAAACCAATTCAATCTAAACTAAAATGATTTGCATATTAGTTTCCATGCAGGTGTAAAGTTCTTCTTTTGAAAAAGTGTTAAGTAGGAGATATTACAAAGGGGAACTAAAAAAACCCGAGCCAATGAGAAAACATCGCTATTTTACGGCATTGGTAATCACCTCTCTCGTTGCTGTATTGTATTCATGTAAAGTTTTCTTTTCTAATAAACTTCATAATAGGAAATTTTCGTTTGGCGCGGTTTCTTGCTTTGAAGGTTAACCGATTTCAATTATAATAATCCTTGAGAGATTTGAATCGATATATTTTATTTTTAATCTTTTTCGCTTTGGCACCGACCAGAGAGTAGGATTTGTAGAACAGAACGCTAAGTGACGTGATTCCATCCATAGCTGTCAATCAGCAGATTTTTTAAGAAAACGTAGTACTAGTAAAAGAAGAAACGAGCGATATCCTCTCTGTGAATGATTTTAAACAGAGCAAGAATGAAAATTGAAAATATTGTTAAACTTAAGATATTTCCTGAAATTTAAGTGCCATTTTTCTACGTTATTTTTCCGTTTCAAGTTTATTATTTTTAAATGTCCACGAAATGCGTAAATTAATAGGTTGCCTTGACTTTAACTCGAGAAGTGTGAAAACCCATCTGCACGAAACCTTTGTTGACAATGACTTGAAGGGCGGATAACTTTTAAATTTTGTAACCTGTATACTTAAAGCATAGTTAAGGACATTCGGACATCGCCAAATCAGAGGGTAAAAAAGAGACCTGTTACTAAAGAACTAAAAAAATTCCCTCTAAAAACTATTCTGATGTTCAGAGGCAACAAATGTTATCGCTGTAAATATCCAAGAACACGATAGCTGAAAACTAACTTTTCTATCGGTAAATTTGAGAACTTGAGTTGAAAACCCTAAATCTCTTACACTCTGGAAGTAGTCCCGTTTCCAGACCTTCACGGCCAAACAGTTGTCCAAAGATCGGATCCCTACCCACAGTGGGATCTGGATACGAGCTGACAGAGGAAGTATTCCTTATTATGAAAAGGGTTAACCTTCCCTTTGACTAAATGTAAGCGATATAGGGCCTTCGTCTTCTTTTTTAACATTTTCAAGACTAGATTAGTTGATTATCGTAGAAAAACACAAACCGGAGCAACTCACACTTTCGACGCCATTATGAATGTAAGGAAAGGAGGCTCGAGAAGGGAACACAATGCACAGCGGTCACACATCAGGCATGCGCAATCAGATCAATTTTGCTAGTCTGCGCGCTAATTTCCCGCCCAAAATTTTAAAAGGCCCCCAAAACAAACAACCGTTGCTGCCACGCAAAATATATACGATTATGGTTACTTTACGTCACGTGGTGCAAAATCACAGGACAATTATCACGCAATAAGCCCCGTCTGCGTCGATATTTGTCCTCCGATTTTTTCCGTGAAAAAGAAACATAGTCAACACAAGAGTTTCAACTTTCTATTCTCCTATTTACATGGAAGGAAACCAAGCAGGTTCCTTTTTTGGTTGCCTTCGTCAATCACGCGCATTCGCCATCAGATCACCACTGGCTTTTTTACTGTGTTTACGCGCAGTTTAATTGCGATGTGAAAATTAATGGGAGGGTTATAAAATAAATAAACCCCGTTCTGGCTTGCTGGTATGTCGGCTGATAATGTCCTTGGCTGGGAGATTGTCCTCAAAATTTCATATTTGCCCTCGAAGCTTCGCTTCTCGGCCAAATATTCATTTTTCGGACAATCTCTCAGACGTGGACATTATCAGCCGAAATACCAGCCGCCCGAAGGGGTTTATTTACTAAATAACGATGAAACGTTCACAAAAATTTGTAAAAAGGCGACATAAATATGGAAAATGGGAACTCGGAACTTTTCGCGCACATAGCTTATTTAATTACCGGTTTCTGAAGCCGTTTGTAGTGTTTCTGCAAAAGTCTTCACAATTGCAAGCAGAAACATTTTCGGTTTGCACAACAATTGCCTTCACGCGTACAGTCACAAAACGCAAATTTCAAACATACTACAGATATTTCTTTCTGCAGCTTGGGCTTCAAAACACGATCTTCCTTGAAGAACCATTCACTGCCGTCCGGATTTGGAAGTGCAGTACAAAGTTGAAGGACCATCTTCCATTTCACGCCCCGATGGCTGACTCGCCGAAAGTGGAACTGCAAAGCATCTCATGTGGGTGGAAGGGAATGAAGCTTCTTCGTTGTCCTTCTAAATACAGCCGCTCTCTCCTCATCACTTGCGTTTTCCTTAGTTTGTAATTAATGCAAATCGTCTTTGACAAACAGGATCTTCTCAATCATGTCTTGACACGAGATTGTGGCTTTTCTTTTGTCTTTTGTTTATAACAAGTCGAATAATTAAAATTTATATGGAGTCGTCACCGCCGAAGATACATTTAGGTCCATCGAAGGCTGTTAATAAACTTACGTTGAGAGCCTAAGGTAAGTGTCACGTCTCGTTCCCACTGCAGTAGTACACGTTCAAGATCTGAGTTCTTACGACACATATGGGAAGTTTTCTTTATTTTGAGAGAAGAAATTGTTTAACCGTCTACCATTTGGGTGTTACGAACAACCGATGTACGAAGGCACGGAATTTTCTAGGTTTTTCGTTGGTTTAAAGGAATCTGATCACGCCCCTTCACAAGAACGGAAAAACGTACAAACAACAACTTGCCCGCGAACGTAGAGGCATTAAAATTCAATCAACTGATCACCACGTGACGGTAGTATTTTTTTTGACAGTAATTGGAGCATTAGAAATTCATTATAAGCGGGCGATCGACCGTCATCGCTAGGAATATATTTACTGTGGGTGTACGAATGCGTGTTTATCGAAAAGTATTTTGAACAATTCTTTTATTGATTTTGCTTTTATTTTATTTTATTTCATTTCATCAATTTTATTTCTCTTTGTGTATTTAATTTTTCTTCTCCTTTTCCTTTTGACCATAGTTACTATGTTTTGACAGTGGATGCTTCCCATATATGGTTTCAATAATCTTGTTTTTAAAATTTATAACAGTCCCGTGACTTCTTCGTCTAGACACCCACGCTATATCTTAGTTAGCGACCAGGTCAAGGAAGCATAATTCTTCAGGTTTCTTCGCAGATATGCGTCTTTAGCCCCATCGTGGACGGTATATCAACCAACGCTGAGCGACTAGGTAAGTGAAGTACCTTTTTTCGCGGCGAAGGTACGTCTTAAATTTGGGATTTGGGTATTTTTCGCCCTCCAATCTTTTATTTATTTTTCATGAACGCATTAACAACCTTTGTCGCTTTCTGTTTGTCGTCCTTCGATTAGACGTGTGTTAGGCTAATGTTAAAATAGATGGTGCGTGCTATTTCCTCTAAGTTTGGTTCCTCTTGTCAAATTACTTTCGGTGAACTTATTTCCCATGAGATTCATAGAATGATTGGTTTTTCGATCAGGATGTACTTGATCTGCACTGCAGATTAATCGAACTTCCACGCGTACTTTTTAATGCAGCTGTTTGTATTCTCTCGGATATTTTACAAGCCTGGGCTGCAAAACTATCTTTTAGCAAGATTTTTGAACTTTTACTTCGACTGTTTGGCTTCCGTTGGAACGTGAAAAATTCAAAATTTTTAGGTTTTATAGTCAGACTCTTCCAGTCGCTCCCTTGCCACCGAGTATACATTTTAGGCAACGCAGAAGCGCTCTTGTATTTCATGAAAAACTTGAGGTAAGAAATCTGTTTTGGCGTAAGAAATCTGTTTTGGCGTAAGAATTAGAGCGAAAGCTGTAGTCACTGAGCTAAATGGTGCATATTCGTATGATGCACGATCCTCGCAGTAGATAGCGCTATTTAAGCAATAGCGAAAATCAGACCTGAAAAAAATCAGGCCTGTACGGGATTCAAACCACTGACCTCTGCGATACTAGTGCAGCGCTCTACCAATTGCATGTTGCTACCAATTGCTACCAATATGCAGCGCTCTACCAAGTGCATATTGTTGTCAACGACAAGCGCCGACCTAGAGAGCGCTTCACTGTAAATTAACTCCTATAATCACACGACTAGAGAAAGCTTACTGGATTAATTTCTCATGTTTGGTCCCTCAGAATAGTAAAAAATGCTGCATTTGACTTCTTAACAAAAGGAGCTTGATGATTTTCAAAATATTAAATGCGAGATGTTCTGTCACGCGTTGCGTTACCAGTGCTAATCGGGCATGCTGGGAATGTTTTTAGTTGGATGGTGTCAGTAATAGCACTGTGTCACCTTGAAAGTTTGATTAAGTAAAGCACGGTTACACTGCAGGAGACGGCCTCGTTTTCGATAATCTAAACCTCTACTAAGGACTAGACTAATGGACCAGAATGCAAAATAAAAAGAAAAAAATAATGTAAACCTTGCTGGACACGTGTCTTCAATTTGTAATGTTAAAACAAATGTTTAAAGAAGGAAGCTTATAAACAAAATAGATGTTCATCTGTGATATTGCAATTTTTGAAACAGAGGTTCAATTTATACGAGACTTGGCAAGGAGAATAACTCAGTAATCTTATCTTCAAACTTATTTTCAGGTTGATGGAAAACTTGAATGCTCCAGAATCACTGTCTCCTTCAGCTGGCCCTGATTCAAACTTTATCATTCAAGTGAATCTTAAAAAGGGCAAAGTGAGTTTTGGTTTTGATGTCATTGGAGGTCAAGAGTATGGCACACAGGTTAGGAAAAGGAAATTTATTTTGATGTAATTCTCTCTAATTTGAATAGCTGGCAGGTACTCTAAACACCTCTATATGTATGTACAGTCAATTTCTGGTTGCATATATCATTTGGGAAAAGGAATATTTTGTTTGATGCAGTTCCTGATGGTCTACTTTTATTTGTTGGCTTTTTGTAAACAATTAAACAATAGAATTGTTTTTTTTTATAGGTGACAATAAGTAAAATTGACAGACGGGGTCCTGCAGACTTGGATGGTAACCTCCAGGTTGGAGATGAGATCCATTACGTGAATGGTGTGAAAGTGATTGGTGCAAAAGGTGGCCATGTGATTGCGCTTGTGAAAAATGCAGAGTTATTTGGAGAAGTCAACCTTGGCATCTGTAAAAACTTTGCCAGATCAGAACATGCAGTGTGTAAGTGATTATCAAACTTTTAACATATAGTAGATATAATTTATTAGCCGTTATAGGAGAGGACAATCTCATGTGAACAGACATTCCTCTACAAAACAAACAGAAAAGCACAAACATGCAATTTGGTTGTGTAGTGCTGTGTGTGAAAATTTTCAGTTTCCAGTAATGTAGCATTCTTATGTTATTTTGTGATCAATTTTATCCTAGGGGTTACTACTTCAAACACCATGCCCCAGCAGTCTGATTTAGCATCAATGAAACCCCCTTATCCCCTAAGTGAGGATCTTAATAAGCACCATAGAAGTCCAGCCCAAAGGAACAGTGGAGTAAGTGAGAGTAATTAAAAACACTTATTGGGTGGCTAAGGGTATATCTAAGTGTCTTGCTAAGGTCCTAAATTTCCTGATTACCTAGGCATGTTGTGGTTTAGGTCTTTAGACCATTTGGTTTAATTTAATTGACAGAATGAAAAGAAGAGTTCATGATAAGAGTTTTATGACCACCAATCTCTCCAGCAGGGCTTTATTAATTAAACATCACTGATATGATTTAAAAAAAACACCCTTTGTTCACTGCTCGACTGACTTTTGTTTGGAAACTCATCGTAGTCTAACTTCTTTACAGCCATGAAATGGTATGTCAGTCAGTGTTTCCTCCCAAAGCGGAAGAAGAAGAAGCTGCATGACCTTATAAACAAACGAGCAGCATGCATTCTTTTTTCAATTATCAGCAACCATTCCTGTAAGACTTTCATTTTTAAGGAACCTTGATCTGGCACTAAACTCATCCTGTGAGACTCAAATTATTCCAATGGAGACACATGTTAGTAAAGGGCACCAGCGCTGTGCTCAAAGAAGCTTTTCTTCTGGCATCATCGAAGTTCTGAACTTTTTCACTCGAATCTTGAATTCAAAAATTTGTTTTGGACACAGCAAATCAATTCTATTTTATATCCTGTCTGAATTATAATGTGTTTAAATTTCAAATGCTTTATTGAGTAAATAAATTGTTTGAGAGGAAATGAAATTTTTACATGAATATCTGAAGTATTCAGGTTGACTACTGAAGACAATTAAGCATGTAATTCATACCTTTGAGCAATCAAGAAAACATCAAGCTCTGTTTGTGCATTAAAGCATAATTATAATGAAGAATGCACAATATTTCACTATTTCAACACTGAAGTTACCAGGGTAATATATATAGTGTGCTAGAAGAGTGTCAAATAGTTTTTGCAGGAGAAGTTATTAATTTTAATTTATGAAGGTGTAGTCTGATCGTCCGGGTGAGTGTAGTCCTGAGAAGGACTGTTGTCGGTGGCAGTGACTGACATTTCGACAACCTGTGCGGAAGTCATCATCAGAGTCAAGTCAATGATTGTTGTCAGTAGAACGCATAATTATAATGAAGAATGCACAATATTTCAATATTTCAACACTGAAGTTACCAGGGTAATATATATAGTGTGCTAGAAGAGTGTCAAATAGTTTTTGCAGGAGAAGTTATTAATTTTAATTTATGAAGGTGTAGTCTGATCGTCCGGGTGAGTGTAGTCCTGAGAAGGACTGTTGTCGGTGGCAGTGACTGACATTTCGACAACCTGTGCGGAAGTCATCATCAGAGTCAAGTCAATGATTGTTGTCAGTAGAACGCATAATTATAATGAAGAATGCACAATATTTCAATATTTCAACACTGAAGTTACCAGGGTAATATATATAGTGTGCTAGAAGAGTGTCAAATAGTTTTTGCAGGAGAAGTTATTAATTTTAATTTATGAAGGTGTAGTCTGATCGTCCGGGTGAGTGTAGTCCTGAGAAGGACTGTTGTCGGTGGCAGTGACTGAC